TTCTAATATTGTTCTATTTCTACATTTTTAATTTTCTTCTTTGTCATGTCTTATTACTAATTATGTTGAAATCATCAAATAAATTAAATTTTATTATTGCATTATCAAATGATTTCTTTAAATTTTAATTTACATAAAAATATTGACTACTGCGTACTAAAAATTATTGAACTTAATAAAATATAAAATAGACTAATATAGTGCAAGTCTTACCTATTTATGATTATTAAATATTAAATATTGACCAATAAGAAATTAGTATAAAATACAGAAATTTCAATATTTGGGCGCTACAAATTCTATCTCGAAAGTTTCTCAACTTACAATAATCCTAAATTTTTCAAAACTCACAGTTACATTGCGTAGCACACGATACATAAGTTATGTATCAGATACATAACTATAAACTAGATTCATACTGATTTTGGTTTGAAATAACTGGTCTTATGTATCAACAATAACATTTGTACCAGATACACTGTACATAAACAAAGGTGTAATGTATCTGATAGAGAAGTAGTGATGTATCTGGATGTTAAGATAAAAAGAATGAAAAAGTGATTTTTGTAATTAATTCAAATAGTAGACATTTTTAGATTAAAGATGCTCAGATGATGACATGGTTTCTAGGGTCAATTGACCCTCTTATTGTTCTTAATCTCAGGTCGTACAAGACAACTTAGGCCATGTGGGATTACTTATGAAAGGTTTATAACAAAGATAATAGCACAAGACACATTTAGTTAAGAGTATGAAATTGTTAATAATTCTCAAGGAGGTTTTTCTATTCCGAATTATATTTTTTTTATTTCAGAACTTATGGGCTTAATTTACAGATATTGTCTATGCCAAAATACCTATTGAATCTCTATCTGTGATTCAGGCAGTTCATGAGCAAAGCAAGCGAGAACAATTTTTGATGAAATTATGCTCCGACTTAAAGAGTCTTTGCTCTAACTTGATGAATCGAGAGTCGTCTCCCTCTTTTGGATGTTTGTTATAGGAAATTACTCCATGAAGAGCAACGTCTTGTCACACAAAAAACTTTCAAAAAAGAAAATGATGTCATTGTTGCATTTGCTGCTCAAGGTAAAGGAAAGGGAAGGGATATGACTAGAACTCAATGCTACTGTTGCAAGGAATATGGTCATATTGCTAGCAATTGTAGCAAGAAGTTTTGTAATTATTGTAAGCAACAAGGGCACATTATCAAAGAGTGTCCCACGGGCCCTAAAAATCGTAAGTTCAATGTTTTTCAAGCTTGGATAAATGGTTCCACTATTGATAACCCATCTTCAGGACAAGTTCTTACTCCTGAAATGGTATAACAAATGATTGTATCAGCCTTTTCAGCGTTGGGGTTACAATGTAATAATGTTACATCTAATTTTTGGATTGTTTATTTAGGTGCTTCCAATCATATGACCAAATCAATGAGCATACTAAAAAGTGTTCATAAGTATCAACGTCTATCACAAATACAGATTGTCAATGGTAGTAATTTACCCATTGCCAAGGTTGGGGACATTACTCCAACTTTCAAGAATGTTTTTGTTTCACCAAAGTTGTCAACTAGTCTTACTTTAGTTAGACAATTGGTAGATAACAATAATGTGATGTGATTTTTTCTCGTAATGGTTGTTTTGTGCAGGATCTGGTGTTGGGAACGATAATCATGAAGGGGCCAAAAGTTGGACGATTATTTCCTATACACTTTTCTGTTTCCCCGATTCTATCTTTTGCTTGCACTTCTACTACTACTAAGACTGACATTTGGCATAAGCGTCTAGGAAATCAAAATTATGTTGTGTTGTCTCATTTATCAAATTCTCATTTACTAGGAAATAAAAATCAATTTTATGCTGCTTCCATTGATTGTTCTACTTGTAAATTAGGCAAAACTAAAACTCTTCCTTTTCCTAACTTTGGTAGTCGTGCTACAAAGTGTTTAGATGTCATTCATAGTGATATTTGGAGCATTTCACCAATTATTTCTCATGCTCATTTAAAATAATTTGTGACATTCATAGATGACTATAGTCGGCTTTCATAGGTGTATTTTCTTCGATCCAAATCTAAGATATTTTCCATGTTCTAGACATTTTTGTCTTATATTGAGACACAATTTTCTACATGCATCAAATTATTAAGATCTGATTCCAGTGGAGAATATACGTCTTATGAATTCAAAAAATTCTTTCTTGACAAAGGAATAATCTCACAACGCTTTTCCCATATACACCACAACAAAATGGAGTAGCAGAGCGTAAAAATTGACATATTTTAGATATCACTCGTACTTTATTGATTGAGTCCTTTGTACCATCTAAATAATGGGTGGAAGCTTTTTCTACTGCTGTCTATTTAATTAATAGACTGTCATCTAAAGTGAAAAATCTTGAGTCTTCATATTTTCATCTTTATCACCAAAATCCTAACTATAGCGATTTTCATACATTTGGTTGTGTTTGTTTTGTGCATTTGCCTCCTTTGCAGCGTAAAATACATTTTGTACAGTGTACTAAATTTGCTTTTATGGGTTATAGTACTTCACAAAAAGGTTCTATTTGCAATGATCAATGTTGTCACAACTTTTGTGTTTCTATAAATGTTATTTTCTTTGAGAATCGGTCATTCTTTCCTTCTATTGTAGATTCATCTTCTACTTCTCCTCTTTTTCCTACTTTTGAGGATTTATCATCTTCTTTTAAGAGGTTCAAACCTGGATTTGTGTATGAACGACGTTGGCCGACTTTACCCCATCCCGACACTGATTCGCCACCTGAAATTTCACCACAACTAGAACCTAAGAATTCTTCAAGATCTGGTCCTCCCAAGCCTACTCGGAGATCTACTAGAGTTTCTCGCACTCCTAATTGGTATGGATTTTCCTCTACTTTATCCAACATTTTTGTTCCAACTTGTTACTTACAAGCTTTCAAGCATGAATGTTGGCCAGAAAGCAATGGAGGAAGAACTTTTGGCTCTTAATGAAAATGACACAAGGGACATAGTTTCATGTCCTTCAAATGTCTTCTCAATTGGATGTAAATGGATTTATTCAATTAAACTTCATTAAGTTAGAACTCTTGATCGGTACAAAGTTCGATTGGTTGTTCTTGGTAACAGACAAAAGTATAGGGTGGACTATAAGGAGACTTTTGCACCCGTACAGAAAATGACTACGGTGCGAACTATTATTGCCATTGCTGCTTAACAAAACTAGTCTCATTAACAAAGGGATGTCAAAAATGCATTTCTCCATGGTGATCTTAAAGAAGATATTTTTATGAAACCTCTACCTGGTTTGTTCTCATCACCTACATCAGATGTGTGCAAGTTGAAGCAGTATTTGTATGGATTAAAACAAGCTCGCCTAGAGCTTGGGTTGATATGTTCCGGTCTATTTTGCTACAATTTTCTTTTGAGGAGATAAAATATTACTCATCTTTTTTTCTTCGGAAAACATTACAGGTTGTATTCTTCTTTTGGTGTATGTAGATCACATTATTATCATAGGAACCAATTCTTCATTAATCACTAGCCTTTAACAGCAGCTTAAATATTCTTTTCATATGAAAGATCTTGGTACTCTTACATATTTCTTGGGTTTGGAAGTTCATAATGATGCTTCAGGTGTGCTTTTAAACCAACACAAATAAACTCCCCCTCATCTCCACTTGGTGGTTGTTCTCCACATCATTCGGTATCTTCCAGAAACATCTACTCGTGGATTGTTCTTTCCAAGTGGTTCTCCTATTTGTCTTAATGTTTTTAGTGATTCTGATTGAGCGGGATTTCTTAATACTCGTCATTCAATCATTGGTTGGTGTATGTTTCTCGGAGAGTCATTGATATCTTGGAAGAGTAAAACGTAAGATCGTGTGTTATAATTTTCAAAAAGGCTGAATATCGATCCATGTCTACTCTTCTCCCTACAAACAATACAAGTGTTATTCAGATTACTACTAATCCAGTTTTTCATGAGAGGACCAAACACATCGAAATAGATTTTCATTATATACAAGAAATTGTAGATCAAGGAGTCATTACTCTTCCACATGTGTCTAGTGATCTTCAAATAGATGATGTGTTTACAAAATCCATGGCACGACAACACCATCAGTTTCTACTAGGCAAATTGATGCTTCTTGATCCACCAGTATCAATTGAGGGGGTATGTAAGCATGATGGACAACGAAATAATTGCATATATTAATGTAATTATATAGTGCTATAAATTAGTATTATTATATAGAATTTTTTTATAGAATCAGAGAAATAAATATTGTGATAGAATTGTTGATTTGTAAGGATAGCAAAGCATATTTAGAGGGATTGAATAGTATATTTGTAGATAGGAAAGGTGGATCTTTAGGGCTAGGAAAGGTGGATCTTTAGGGCTGTGTAATCTTTATACTCACTATTTAATGGAAAGACTCTCTCACTTTGAGAGGCATTCAACACAAAATTGACATTTTACTCGTGAGAGTTAATTATTGGCTCTTGATACCATATGAAGTATTAAGCTACCAGTAGAATAAAAGGAATGGTGTGTTTTATTGATTGTAGATTAAGTATATATATTCCATAGAACTTCTACAACCTCGAGATAAACTAAGAAAAAGGTAAGATAACCTAAATACAAGGGGAAGTTACAACAGAGTCCTAAAGAGCAGGCACTACTAAATCTGATCTGTTATTACGCCCCCAAAAGTTAGTGGTGTAAAAAACACCTAACTTGGAAAATTGTTGGACAAAAGAAGCTTTGGGAAGAGATTTTGTGACTATGTCAGCCACTTGACCAGCTGAGCGAAGGTGGTGAACTTCAATATCCTTGGTCTAAACTTGTTCAGGAACAAAGTGAAAACAAATGGCGATATGCTTCATCCTACTATGGAAAACCGGATTGGAACAAATGTAAATGGTGTTGATGTTATCACAAAAAACCTGTGTAACTCCCTTAAGTGAAAGCGAAGTTCATGAAGAAGATTTGTTAGCTAATTGGTTTCTGCAATAGCAGCAGCCACAACTCTATACTCAGCTTTTGTAGTGGGCCGAGTTACAGAGAATTGTTTATTGAAGGACCATGAAATTGGTGTAATACTCATGAAAGTAATATAGCCATAGGTAGAAGTGTGATCATTTGGATCACTAGCCCAATCTGAATCAGAATAAATAACCAAATGAGAAGATGGAGCTTTAAAAATCTGTATGCCATATTGGTAGGTGTGACAAAGATAACGATGTAATCGCTTCACTGCTTTCCAGTGAGATTGGTGTTGATTGTCCATAAATTGAGAGAGCTTGGTAACTGTGAAGGCAATATCATGACTTTTAAGGATAAATAGTGAAATTTTCCAATTACGCACCGATAAAGAATACCATCAGCCGAAGGATCATTCATTGAAGCAGTCAAAATGGTAGTTGAGATCATAGACGTAGTAGCTCCTTTACTGCCTAGCATGCAAACATCATCTAAAAGATAAATAATATACTTGTGCTGGGACAAAAAAAGGACCCACAGTAGAAGAGATAATCTCAACACCCAAAGAATAATGGAGTTGTCCAAAGTCTTTTAAGGTGAAAATAGTTGAAAGACCATCTATTATATGACGAACCCCACGAATTTGATTTCCAGAGATGATTATATCATTCAGATAGATAAGAACATAAACAATGAATCCAAAATTATGCAAAATAATTAAAGAATTAGATTGGGAATTGACAAACCCAACAATTAGAAAATAATTTTTGAGATCGTTGTACCAAACTCTGGGATAAGTTTCAATACATATATTACTTTATTCAACTTGCAGACATGGGTCGAGAAACTTTGATCTTCAAATCTTGGTGGTTTCCTCATATAAACTTCTTGCTCAAGGTGTCATTGTAAGAATGCATTATTGACATCAATTTGATCGATTGGTTAGTTGTACTACGTGGCAATAGGAAGCACCAACCGAATAGTAATTGGTTTGACTAACAGGCTCCAGGTGGAATGGAAGTCATCCCTTTACAACAAGCAGAGATTTATACCTATCAATGGAACCATAAGATTTATATTTTATCTAACACAACCACTTGCAATCAACCACATTCATCGAAGGAGAAACTGGAACCAATTCTCATGTGTGATTCCTAACAAGTGGATCAAATTCAACTTGCATGGCTTCTCTCCAGTGAGGTTAAGTACATGTTTGTATGTATGGGGAACAAAGGACAAGGAGAGTTTAACACTAACACTAAACTGCTTGGGTTTGAGGCTATTTATTTTGGAGTGTGTGACCATGGGATGACTTGAAGTGGTCATCACGGGTGACGGAACATATGAATTCAAAGAAAGTACATGTTGGGAAGGGTTATAATTAGATGAGTGAGAAGGTAGGTTTGGGGAAGTATAAGGGAAGGGGGTGGTAACACTGAGGTACTTAGTTGTTGGAAATTTTTGTGTTGATAACACTGAGGTAACACTGAGGTAACACTGAGGTACTTATCATTAATGGTGTGGATGACGTTGGCGGTTGAGTATAATCAGGTGGTGGTGTAATAGTGGGTGGCAATGAAGGAGAGGATAAAGTTTGAGAATTACTTGATGTAACAGAGACACCTTCTGATCCGACAGGCATTGAGTCGGGTAGTGGAGAGTGCACAGGCACAACATCTAGGATTGGATGACAAGAAGCTAAACTTGACGGTTTATTAGTCATAGGTAGAACATCTGAACAAATTTCCCAAGCGATATCACTGCTTTGTTGAACTTTTAGATTGGAAAAAATATTATGAAAAGGATAGGTGTCTTCTAACAAATGAACATCCCTAGGTAAGTACCATTCATTTTTTATGAGATCAAAACATTGATGGCAGTAATAATTATTAGAAAATCCTAAATATACGCAAGGACTAGATTTTGGCTCTAACTTATTTTTAGCATATGGTTTAAGTAACGGGTACCATAAACAATCAAAATCTCTATGGGATTCATACTTTGGAGCCTTTTGAAATAAGATTTCATAGGGGCATTTATTTTGTATGTTTGGAGTGGTTAGACAGTTTATAAGGCACATTTCTTAGTGATAGGCAAAACTCTAAGAATAAGGGCAATGAGGCTTAATGCAACAAGGTTTCGGCAGTCTCAACAACATGCCTATGTCTACGTTCAACTAATGCCACTCTTTGAGGCGTGTACGGAGGTGTCACTAAATGCTCAATACCATGAATTTTGAGATATGAAGATAAACCTTGAAACTCACCACTACCATCAGTGTAGAGAGACCAATTTTTTGTTCGCAATTGACGCTCAAGTAAGGGATGTATTTTGAGTATTGGTCAACAAATAAGGTATAATATCTCGTGTTATCAATTGACAAAATAGGAGATGGACCCCATAAATCAGTATAAATTATTTGTAATGGTCGTTGACTTTGTAATGAATTTTCAGAAAAAGGTACCCTGTCTATTTTATCATAATAAGAAGAATTATATATGGAAGCGGTTCTAGAATATGAAACTGAAAAAGAAAACTGATGTAAAATTATGTTTAAAGTATGATGATTAGGATGGCCTAAATGTTGGTGCCACAGGTGTAGAAGAACGACATCATTGCATTGATGGGAATGATATGCACTACCTGGCGGCCACTCATATAGCTCATCTCTATTCTACCCGTGAAACAGAGGTGTCCCCGTGCTCAAATCCTTTACAAAATAAGAAAGAGGAAGAATTCAATGGACATATGGTTACTGCGGCAAAATTTGGAAACAAAAAGAAGATTTTTTTTTTATAGAATGAAAACATAAGGTATTGAGAAGCTTAAATTACTTATTCGACACACTTAAGTTAGTGTTACTGGTAGGAGATATTGGAATGGTGTTACTATCCCCCATTGGTATCTCTTCTAGACCATGGTAGGTGTGCACATCAATGAATTTTTGTGCACTACATGCCAAATGATGAGTGGCGCTTGTATCAACAATCCAAGGAGCCTATTGAGTTGGAGAGAGAGCAACATAGTTTACCCGGTCATATAGGTGATTACCTTAGATGAATGACTAGAAAGGTTACACAATTGGCACTTCAAAGTACTGTAGGTTATATTTACCACTACGTCATGGTTGGGCACGCCATAACTAATTGGTGATGGGGGAATTTGCATTTGGACGCCTGTTAAAGGTGTTTCCTTGCAACAATGCATATTAGTTTGCTATGAAATTGCAGCACTAATTGGTGTTGAGAGTGGCTTCTTTGCTTCTTCATGTTTGATGTATAGTTCATGGTCAAGCAAATTTTAATAAAATTGGATAAGATATAGTAGAATCTCTTCTTCAGATAGTAGTATATATTTCACGGAATTTGGGTCCCAGTCCAGTGAGGATTTTGACAATCAGTTCCTCATTGGACACATGAGCTCCAACAATGGCAAGTTCATCACAAAGAGATAGAACTTGGTGTAGATAATCAACGACAGGAAAGGTTTCTTTTGAGAGGCGATCCAGACGATCGCGCAAACTAATGATCTTTGTTTGCGATTTATTGGCATACGCAGTCTGCAAAGCATGTCAAGCAGCCTGGAAAGTGGATGCAATGGCAATCGTAGCAGCAAGAGTAGGACCAACTGTGGCCAAGATAGCAATTTGAATGAGCTGATCTTGCTGATGCCATAAAACAAATGTAGGATTTTCGACGTCCTAATTATTTTGAGCCACTGTACGAGCAGGGACTGGGCGAGAACCATCGAGATGGCCAAAAAGGTTGTGACCACGCATAAGCATGGACACTTATGCTTTCAAATGGGAAAATATGTGGTTTTCAGTTAATTTGATTGGTAACTGGGTGACAGGATTAAACTAATTAATTGATGTATTAGCATCGAAGTTGGCTATAATGATGTTTGGGGATATTTTTACTACAAGGGTGGGAGGGTTTCTCGAAAAAAAAATATGTTAGCATGATGGACAGCTGAATAATTGTATAAAATAATTATATAGTGCAATAAATTAGTATTATTATATAGATTTTTTGTAGAATTAGAGAAATAAATATTGTGATAGAATAGCTAATTTGGAGGGATAGAGAAGCAGATTTAGAGGGATTGAATACTAGATTTGTATAGATTAAATAGTTGATTTTTAGGGATAGGAATGGAGGATCTTTAGGGATGCGTAATCTTTATACTCTCTATTTAATGGAAAGACTCTATCACTTTGAGAGGCATTAAGTAGAAAATTGACATGGTATCAGAGCCATGTCCATCCTCGTTGGGCTCCCAGTCCATGCTCCATTCAGGTCTGGGCGTGAAGAGGGTGTTAGAGTAGGTAAAATTCCTACATTGGTTGGGGATTGGAGTGGTGGTCTGCTTATATGGACTTAGGCAATCCTCCTCTCATGAGCTAGCTTTTGGGGTTAAGTTAGGCCAGGTTTCATCCTAGGACTTTTGTTCTTGGTCATTCTAGTTGATTTCTTGAGTCTTTGTAGTTTTCATAGGTATTCAAAAGCATGAATTCACATCATTTTGAATCCTTCAGTGTTCGTTTCACTGGAAAAAAATATACTTCTTAGGAGTTTCAGTTTCAGTTACTTGTCACCGGCAAAGAACTATGGATCCATATAGATGGAAGTGATCTAGCTCCTACTCATCTGACAAAGCTAGGTGAATGTGTTAAGTAAAGAGTTCATTCACACTAGTGTTTCTCTGTGGGGTGCTCAGATGTTGTTTGTAAGGAGAAAAGGTGGGTCCATGAGGATTTGTATTAACTATCGACAGTTGAACAAAGTGACAGTGAAGAACAAGTATCCTCTTCCTCGTATTGATGATTTTTTTGATCAGCTTCAGGTTGTATCTCTATTTTCTAAGATTGAATTGAGGTTCGGTTATCATCAGCTGAATATTAGGGCATCCTATATCCCTAAGACAACTTTTAGGACGCGTTGTGGACACTATGAGTTTCTTGTGATGTCTTTCGATTTGACTAAAGCCCCTGCAACGTTCATGGAGTTGATGAACGGGGTGTTTCGATCTTATTTGGATTCCTTTGTAATAGTGTTCATTGATAACATCTTTGTGTACTACAAGACTGAGGAGGATCACGTTCGACATTTGAGGATTGTACTCCATAGATTGAGAGAAGAGAAGCTTTATGCCAAGTTCTCGTAGTGCAAGTTTTGGCTTAATTTTATGACATTTTTGGGACATGTGCTATCCAAGAAGGGTATTCGGGTGGATCCAACCAAGATTAAGGCAATAAGGGGTTGGACCAGACCTACATTAGTTACTAAGATCTAGAGTTTTGTGGGCCTTACGGGCTATTACTGATGATTTGTTTAGAGCTTCTCTACCATTACAATCTCCTTTGACTAGATTGACTTGATAGAGTATGAGTTTTCGGTGGTATAATGAGTGTGAGGAGAACTTTCAAAAGCTCAAGATCTTGTAAACTTTTCTCATATTTTGACTTTACCCAAGAAGGCTGTGGATTTCACTGTTTATTGTGATGCTTCTGCATTCGGGTTAGGTGTTGTTCTGATGTAGAAGGGTAACATGATTTTCTATGCTTCTAGGCAGTTGAAGACTCATGAGAGAAACTACCCTACCCATGATTTGGAGTTAGAAGTCATGGTGTTTGTGTTTAAGTTATGGCGACATTATCTGTATGGAGTTCATTATGAGGTTTTCACGGATCATCGGACTGTTCAGTACATTTTTAGTCAGAGAGATCTGAAATTGAGACAACGCATATGGTTGAGCTACTAAAGGACTATGGTATAACTATCTTGTATCATCCATGAAAGGCCAATAATGTGGCCGATGATTTTAGTAGGAAGACTTCTAGCATGGGAAGTCTTGCCGCTATTAGTGTGGAGGAGAGACCATTGGCTAGAGATTTTTAGAGATTAGCCAACAGTCTCGTCCGTTTGAAAATTCTGAGGAGACGAGTGATTTGATTGGTTTCATTGAGGCTTTTTATTCTTTAGTTGAACAGATTCGTGAGCACCTGTTTGATGACGAGAAACTATGTCTTATTCGAGACAAGGTGATGAGAGGGGAAGCCAATGAGGTTGTCCTTGATTTTGATGGTGTCTTTAGGGTTGGGGGTAGGATATGTGTGTCCAAGGTGGGCGAGTTGATTAGACTGATTCTTCAGGAGTCCCATTTTTCTCAATATTCCATCGATCCCGGTGCGGCAAAGATGTATCATGACCTGAGCCAGCACTATTGCTGGTGTGGTATGAAGAGGGATATACATATTTTATTTCGAGGTGTTTGACTTGCCAACAAGTCAAGTGTGAGCACCAGCAGCCTGTAGGTATATCTTAGAGGAAGCCTATTCCTACTTTGAAGTATGAGCGGATCACTATGGACATTGTTGTGGGACTACCTACAACTGTGGGTGGTTATGACTCCATTTGGGTGGTTGTCTATAGGTTGACCAAGTCCACCCATTTCATCACATTTCGGTGGCATGACCGAAGCCTACACCCTGGACATGGCCGGCACTCAAGAATCATTGTTGGTCCCCAAGCGAACCCTCATCCTGGATGACTACTGGCGGAAGACTAACTTGAGCATACATAAACATCAAATTGAAAGAAACGTTTAAAAACAGTTTACTGAATCTCAAAACTTTGTTGA